CCACTGTTATAAGTGATTAGTTAATTAAACTCGTTAAAACAAAGGCACAAAGATGAATTAAAATGTTTTCGTCCCAGCAGATGCTATGCTAGGAAAATCTAGAATATGTAAATGATATTAATTTATTTAGACTATTATCCCAAGTTGTTTTAATCTCCAAGTGTTGCCTGATGCTTTCTTAAATCTTCCTAATTTTAGATTACTCAATGGTTTATTCGTTCGATTATCTTAATCTTTGTTATTTCAGTCACTGTGTGTTCTCTAGTTGTTTTCGATTCTGCGTTCTACTCTTCAAGAAGCACTGAACAGAAAAAAATTCTGTATCTGTCTATATTGGACAACATTTCGCAGATATCTCTCCCGAGTAAGACCCCCCCCCATAGAGGAGAACATGAGTAAAGACTGTGTGTACGCTATCCTGTGCGGCCGCAGAAATAAATATAAAGGGGAGACAGGCCGCCCCCTTAAGATAAGGTTTCAAGAACACCAGAAAGCTGTAACACGAGGGGAAGTGAAAAAATCAGGCGTGGTTGACCACATATGGAGAGAGAAGGGAGATCACCACTCTCTGTGGGATCAGGTTGAGAACACCATTGGAAAATTCGTAAACTTAAGGAATCAGCGCATATGCTAGACCACAAAAATCTCCTGAGCCGACCAAGCATAGAAATAAATACAATATGGGAACCAGTAATAAGGAGTGCCAGAGAAAAGCGAAAATAACAACAAAAATTGCAATATGAGCTCTGGTAAAAACATGATATGATAACACCAAAAAATTGCAATATGAGCACTTGTAAAAAATGGTTGCTGAAGACATTAGGTTTATAATACCCAGAAATTCATACAGAGATGTCCTCAAGGACACATGGTACAGTGGATAAAGGCGTTAGATCCAGTGAGAGGACCCAAAGAGTGTGAGTTCAATACCCGGTTAAGGCAGTGGAGAACTTGAGTGGGGAGAGAACAGGAGAAAACTGACAACTGACGTCCATTAAACATGGCATGTGAAACTAGAACATTCTATCCCAGCGAGCGAAATAAAGGGTTCAGTTCGACATTCCAACTACCTGAAGAAGGCCGGAGCTACAACGGCTGAAATGTTGTAATAAATATGGCGACAATATGATGAGAACAATAGTCCGAATAACGAAAATAGAGAAACATTTCTGTTTTTACAAATGCATCATGGATCTTTGTCATTCGGATCTGTGAATTATTCCAAATTCAATGATAGCGAAAGTTTGTAAGAAAAATATTGTAGACAAGAGATTTTGCTTAATATGTATCCATTTCACGCACCTGTCATGATAAATATCCCACATAGACATATACACACATAAACCACTTTGTCAAAAAACGGGGTACCCTCTGCGAGGGTGTGCTGAAAAGTTCTCGGCCAGACCCACTAAAAATGATGAAACATAAGATTTTGGGATTTTTGTCCAGATCAAAAACTTTTCAGCACCCCCTCGTCGAATCAACCGACCTTTCCGCAGACGGAAGCTTTCATTAGATAGTGAGTCAAAATTGCTGGTTGGACTTATTTACTTCACGACAGAATTCGGTCATTACACAATATTTATCTTCAAGAACCCCACCCTCAGGAAACAGAGGGTTGAATTCTAGGACTGAAAAATGTACAATTATAGTTTTCTCTCTAGCACCGAGCAATATACCGGAACTTGAAGACAGGAAGTTGCATTATTCATCAATGTATTTCTGCCTTTATGCGCGCAGGTTCTGTTTGGAATTTCACGTTGCGTTGAAAGGTTAAATTTTGTGTCGTCTTTAAGAAATTCAAGTGCAAAAAATACCAATTCCATTTCAATTTTAAAACATTTTGTTCCTGTTTTACTTGTAAAGATTTGTTTCTCTTTATCTATGTATAACTCTAAAAAAGTATCTGGTAATTTTTGGAATCAAAATGTCTGATGGCAAAACACTAATATTTATTGGATATGAGTTATATATATATATATATATATATATATATATATATATATATATATATATATCCGATGCAATGAGAACGAAAATGATATATAAATTCTAACGTTCACAGCATTACTCCAAAAGAGACCTCGATACTGATAGTAGAGCAATAATTATTTATTATAATTTTTTCATATAGACAAAAAACAGTTTACTCACTACAAAGATACAACTTCGTTTCGGTGCATTTCAATTGCACCTCGACTGGTGAGAACCAAAATTGGTTATATATATATATGTTGTATTAAGAGCCCTCTAATCTGCACAGAAAAAAATCCAGATGCAACAGAAAACAAACGACGACAAAAATATATGCTTTTACCGCATTTTGAACAAAACAAAGATTCCATCTAAAATTTCAGAAATTTCTAGAATTTGTCACACACCTTAGGCTTCCATTAGCGTAATGGCTGAAACCCTTTAATTAGTTGGAGTAGACCAAAAATGGAGTATTGCTGCTATATTTGCTCACTTTTCAACATTGATATTCCAAATCGATTTTGCAGTCTTGTGAGGAAAGACATATTCTCTAGCTTGTAGCCTCTTTACCCACAGACGCAATGTTGCAAGTCTCTCGCCATTTCTATAATAATGTTCAGGTGAGTCGCATTTGCTAGTTCCATCAGTGTAAACTTTTACAGGTAGGACATATTCTCTGCTACTTCCATCGAATCAAATCACCCCCATTTACCCCGTGTTCTAAAGTTCTACTTAGCCCTTTCCCAAGAACTTTTTCAGTGGTATCAGTACCTTATTTCCTTTGTTCTATTTAATCTTTATTAAAATAAAACTATTATGTAAATTTTTGTAACTTTGTATAATATTTATACATTACACCCTAATCTTTATTCGGTAAAAATTTCATTGCTAATCATGCATTACTTTTTAAGTAATACACATATTTATGTCTTTGTTGTTTCCGTTCCTTATATTATGGCCGCTACTATATATATATATATATATATATATATATATATATATATATATATATGCGTGGGTGTGTGCAACATTATTTGTGAAATAGGAACTAGGCTTGTGAATTTGTGTTGAAGAGAAAAGAAAATGTTTGTGTCAACAAATGGAATAACGCCCCCAAATTTGCGATCTGTCTTAGTTATAAATCCCGATATAGTTTAGATTTTGATTGAGTGAAGAAGACGGGGTTTGTTTAAACGTTGAAAGGAAAATACCTTGTACCTGGAGAAAATAAATAAAGCAAAAATTTAAAGCCAGTTTAAAAAAAAAAAAAACCCAAAAAACATTCCCGATTGATTCACAAGAAATTTAGTGGCCTTAATTGTTTGCTGCGTTTCTGTCCTATGACGTAGCATTTTTCTGTCCTTAACGTGGGCACATATTTTATCTAATCTTTTAATGCTGTCCTGGTTTGTTTATTGACTGCAATCAAATGAATGAAAAGGTTATGAGTACTGTGTGGGTGGAAATATTATGGATTAATGAATAGCAAACAGTGGCGATCGAATAGAGCTGTTTTCTTTTTAGCTCAAAGGTACGAATGTAGTTCCAAAAGTAATGCTTTTATACTGACTTCCAAAGTTAGAAGTGGGTGTATTTTATTCTGGTCTACGAAGTCAGAGGCGCATGCCTTTATTCTGGGCTACGAAGTCAGAGGCCCATGCCTTTATTCTGGCCTATGAAGTCAGAAGCGCATGCTTTTATTCTGGCCTACGAAGTCAGAAGCGCATGCCATTATTCTGGCCTACGAAGTCAGAGGCGCGTGCCATTATTCTGGCCTACGAAGTCAGAGGCCCATGCCTTTATTCTGGCCTACGAAGTCAGAGGGCCATGCCTTTATTCTGGCCTGCGAAGTCAGAAGCGCATGCCATTATTCTGGCCTACGAAGTCAGAGGCGCATGCCATAATTCTGGCCTACGAAGTCAGAGGCGGATGCTCATGGTATGACAATAGCGATTGAACCTTTCTATTAATAGCCCATATTTTTGTTAAAGATAGTAATCTGGCAAAATGACATCTGTCATGAAAGTGCACACGGAAAATTTTTATTATTGAATTTATCTTGGTCGAAAAAATTGTACCAGTTGACGTTCATTGACGTTTTCTGAGCGTTTACGGAGACGGAACAGTAGATTTGAATGCATTTAAGCTTTTGGGTAATGCGTTTCAGCAGTGGCGTCAGTTACGTGTGTTAGAAGCTTTATTCTAACCAACTCAGCACATCTCTCATAAGAAAATGCATAGCCAATAGTGGTGACTATGTGGAAAAAAACTCTGTGTTTTGTAGGGTGTCTTTGTGCTCCTTGTGTTTGTTGTAGTTTCTGTGGAAATAAATAGAAGGCACTACTTTCGGAGCGTCCGACATCTTTTTCAGAAATTAAGCCATAAGTTTAGCCACTTCCCGCAGAGTAATTTTTTTTTTTTTTAACCGGGCGTGTTGGGCTTGTTGAGATTTGTTGTGTATCATTCAGCTGACCTATTCGGAAATTTCTTTCTCATTTCTGAACTTCTCATCTTCCGCCTGCATTCATTGCAGACGCTTGAGTACGCGTTTTTTCTGTGTTGATATTTGTACCGTTTAGTTCACGAATAAAAGAGCCGTTTGCTTGGTTTAACTCCAAAGGTTCCAGTCTGAAGAATTCAGAGACGGTAAACCGTATTGATCACAATACAATTTATTCAGCGAAAACCGAAACGATTTTTTCGAATTTTCTTAAAGTTAAAATATCAACAAATCTATCAATCACTTGCACAAATGGTTTGCTTAATATTTCTCTAATTATATAATAAACTTGCCACAAAGCGAAAGAATGGTCAAGAAAACAATGAGATTGTCTTCCTACCAATCTCTAAAGGTCGTCTCCCACATTATATGTTGGTTATGAAAGTCATCTTAGTGATGTTACACAGAATGATACTACTTACACTATTTACATTGTTCGGACTGTTGTCCTAATCTTTGTTGTCATATTCACGACGTTTCGGCCGCTGTACGCTCTGGCCTTCTTCAGGTGATAAACGACAGCTAAATGATCATCTGTTACCAAATATGGTCAGTTTGCTATCTTCTATATACGGTCCGCTTCGTCAGTCTGACCACTTCTGCATTTGTGAATAAATCCGTGGTGAATTCATTCACAAACCCTGCCACTAATTCCGCACTTTTATCTATCTATCTATCTATCTATCTATCTATCTATCTATCTATCTATCTATCTATCTATCTATCTATCTATCTATCTATTTTATTAACTAAATTCCTGATGAGTGAATATAAGAAAAAATTTGGGTCTTAATTTTTTCAACTTGTCCAAAAGTACCACACTACTTGTTTGTAAAATTTTACTATACATGAGATTTATCTTGCCCCGTATTTTTATTTTAGGCGTTTCACCCCAAGCAAGGCGAGAAGCCACTAGGACGCAAGGGGATACAGAAGATCAGATAGGAGTGATAGAAGAAAGGATGAGGAGGAGGGTAGTGGATAGATCAAGGCAATTGGAGATGTCGATTGACATTACACTTGAATAGCTGGAGATTATAGCTCTCAGGGAAACTGGAATAGGGAAGGGAGTTCCACAGGCTAGAGGTGCGAGGCATGAAGCTATTGGAGTAGAAGAGACGGCTACATTTAGGAGTTTCAACAGTGAAAGGGTGAGAGCGGGATGCCAGCCTAGTAGAACGCTTAAATTCATGAAGTCTGGGAACCAGCGATTGCAGCTCCTCGGAGCAATTACCATGAAAGTATTAGTAAAAAAGACAGAGAGAGGCGACGGCGCGTCTGTGAGAGAGCGACTGTAGACGAGATGCCAGAACAGGGCCAATTATATTGCATATCCGCCTCTGGAGCTATCAAGAAACCCGATGCAAACAGAAGGGGTTCCAGACCATATATGGCAGCAATACTCCATGCAAGGGCGAATTGTTGATTTGTAGATCTGAAGGATCGATTCCAGGGAGAAAAATTTCCTGGCGCGGCACAGGGAGCCAACTTTCCTTGCGGTGGACGAAGCAATTGACTCAATATATTTGTTCCCATCTTAGGTCAGCAGTCAGCGTGAGACCGAGCAGCCGCAGAGAGGTGCTCTCGAGAAGTTGAGCGTCAGACATTCTAATGGGGTGGGGCAGGGAAGCATCTCTGTGGTGATTAATAGAGAGCAGTTTTGTTTTTGAGTCATTAAAGTTGACCAGCCAATTCCTGCCCCAGTTCACAACCGATTGGAGGTCCTTTTCGAGACGCACGGCCAGCTTGCACCAATCTCTCCCTTTGGAAGGCTTGCCTTTATGTGTCATGTCTCTTCAGGACGTAGGTGATCATGGCTCTCCACGATTTCTTGTCATTTGCAGCTCTTATTAAATTTGTCTTTTTGTTATTTTTCCTAAACTCTGTTCAGCCATCCATTTATTCAAGCTCATTAAGTGTTATGCGTTATTTTCTTCTGGCCATCTTACCTTCGATCTGTCCTGTGAGTATCAGATTTTCCTAGCACTCTTTCCTCATTATTCGCCATAGAAATGGCAACTCTCTTCCTGATGATAAGTGTAAGTTTTCTTTTTATTTCCATTTTCTATAAATCTTCGCCGTTCTTCACAATATGGAATCAAAATCCTGACTTGACATTGGCAATAAATACGTAATCACGTCAACATTTGGTATCATCCAAAGTAGTTTAAGCATAACTTTTTTTTGTACAAGTTCACAATAATATACTGTATATTTTCGCGTATAAGACGACCATTAAATTTCCAAAATCACTCTTAAAAATTGGGGATCGTCTTATACTACAATTCTAAAAAAGAAACCATAAATTCTCAGCCTCGATAATAAAACCATTTCTACCTTATATATTACTAGCATAACTTCATAATAAATTGCCTATTTGAAGAATAATTCCATGTCAATGAAATCAACTTTTATCCATGCAAGCTCAGCTGAGAAAATGTAAACATCGAGTTATGATTGTGTTAGCAATAGAATGTACTAGTATTGTACATTATCGTATTATAAGCCAAGGGTCGGCAACCTACGGCCCGCGGGCCGGATCCGCCCCGCGAAGGCATTTTGACCGGCCCGCGTGCCTGATTACCAATGACTCTATTTTTAACATGAGAGACGACCTTCAAAGGAAATTTGTTATATGTCATTTTCCATAGAATGTCTACACATCTCAGTGCACTAAAAATATTAGACTATCTGCCAGTTATCTTTCATGAGACTTATTTTACCAGGTTGCGTTGCCTACGTTTAATGTCAAATAATGGATACATATTTGTTATGACCCTTGGCTACATTAAAAGATAACAGAAGCGAAAGGAAAGGTTAAGTGAAAGAGGCCAGGGAGGGACTGACATGCGAGGTAGCAGAAATCTAAAGACAGTTAAACATATGCGCATTATACATACATGCCTCATGAATGTGTGGAATGTAGCGCATGTGTACGTACGTAAGTGTATATGTTTGCAACTATTTGTACTCGTATGTATGGGTATATGTGCTTCGTTTTTGTTTGATGTCTGTGTGTGTGTAGTTCGTTTGTGGAACAATTTTCAATAACAGTTTCAAACCTACACGTCATAATTTCATCCATTTCACTTCGGTTGATTTTTTTCACTTTGAAGTATTTTGACGTTCCTTGAGGAAAAGTAATTTTTGTTAGGTGTTTTTTAATTTTAGATTTTCTTTTGTTTTTTCTGATTTCTCAATGTTTATTTTCATTATGGTTTTAAATATTAAGGTTGACAGGGGTCTGCATATGTAATTTTCCTTAATTTTTCATTAATGGCATTCGTCCGGCCCGCGACCCGTCATTATAACACGATCCGGCCCGCGGGGTCGAATGAGTTGCCGACCCCTGTTATAAGTATTATATTAGTGGTATTTTGTGATTGTCGATGAAGTATAAGTAAATGGTCATTAGTATACCAGGCTGTTTGTAACTCTTTATATATAGGAAAAGAAGAGGAAGAAGAAGAATTAGTATTCGCAAGAGATCACGTGACGAAACGTAAACAAAACAATGGTTTCCCTTTTAGGGAACGTGTGTAGGAAAAACATGATATAGAATCGGTTTTGCTGTTTCGTTTATTTTGAATTTCTAAGGATACAATATGTAACATTTCCAATAATATCTTTATATAATCAATAAGCAGCCATCTTATACTACGGGTATAGGATAAATCTATGAAAAATTGTTATATTTTTTGACTTCGTCTTATCTAAATATTGCCTTATATGCGGAAATATAAGGTAGTCTCTAATGGAGATCAAAATCATGACATTAGCGAATAAATCTACGATATAAGCTTGTAAAAAATAAATGGAATTAAGAGTATTGTGTTTCGTGAAGACATCAAGTAGAGAAAAACTGCTTTTGTTTGGAAATAACCAATTAAAATTCTGGCTTTTATCTGGACAGGAATTTTGAACACTGGACGCCATTGGGACAATGGGACATACTGACCTACCTGATCCTCTTAATTCAGAGCAAGATAGTAAAACCTGTACAAGGAAGAAGTATTTCCTTTTAAGATTAAAGTCTATTTCTGCTTGCTTCTAGTTTGCGTGAATCTATTTGGGATTGAAGCTTTTACTTTGGCTTCACACAGATGCATAAAAATGCTCCTCTTCGTTTTGGATTCTTTAAATAACTGCCTTATATGAACTAAATGTTGACAAATGCCGAAATGACTTCTCTTGAGTAAACACCAGAAGTTAGAAGAGAAAAATAGTTTAAACAATGTAAAAATAAACTTGTAATAATTTTCGTTTCTATAAAGCTGTTTCTCTTTCGTGTATTTGCAAAGAAACAGGTTTGGAGCTTTACGGAAGACCAAGTCGGAAAGAGATTACATTCAATTTGTAGGTAGCCTACATAGATGCACATATCCCGGGTATTCAGTGATAATCAATCTAAGCGGAAAACATAAGGACCACGAAATTTCTTTACTGGCAGTCGTCGTTTTTTTTTTTTTTATTTTAAAACAGTTTTGTATGAAATGAAGAGAATATTACATACATTATAGACTGTTGGATATTCTTCGTTAGCGAAATCCCATATATATATATATATATATATATATATATATATATATATATTGATGGCCTAAAGATTGCATTCAAGCATGAAAACAGACTGTCGACACTTAGTATTGCCCTCAAGTACAACTTATATTTACATACGCTCTATCCCTGATATTGAGCACTTTTATTCATAAATATAGCATACCTTAAAACTATATTTTTATCACACACACATATACAGTGGCGGGGGGAATAAATATACGTACACTTGAAAATTTGTATTTTTATAAATATAAAAGCCTTAACTAAAACGAATTTTGATACATTTTATGTGTAAAGATACATTTTATTAAAAAATAGTAATAAACTTAATTAATTCTTGTTCTAACAGAAATTAATGCATTTTTTTCATTTTAACTGATGAAAAAAGTATTCGTACAAAACAAAAAAAGCATATTAACTTAATTTAATACTTTGTGGAATATCCTTTATTGAGTTCAACAGCTACCAGTCTATTCCTGTACGTCTCAACTAATGATTTGCACACATTGAGTGGTATTTTGTCCCATTCTTCTTTGCATATTGACTTTAAATTCTTGATATTTGTTGGTGCTCTTTTCCCAAGTTGAATTTTCAAATAACGCCATAAATTCTCGATTGGGTTCAAGTCTGGGGACTGACTTGGCCATTGCAAGACATCAACGTTACTTTCAGCTAACCATTTTCTTGTAGATCTAGCGGTATGCTTAGGATCATTATCCAGTTGAAAAACCCAATCAGGAGGTAGCCGAAGTCTCTCAACAGAACGCATTAAATTGTCTTGCAGGATTTTCTGGTAGCTTTCGGCATTCATCTTGTCATCTATTATTGATATTCTGCCAACACCTTTTGCAGAAAAACAGCCCCAGATCATGATACTGCCACCACCAAACTTTACAGTTGGCAACGTGTTTTTTGGTAAGTAGGCTTCACCGTCCTTCCTCCACACATGATTTCGATAATTATGACCAAACAACCCTATTTTAGTTTCATCTGTCCATAGTACTTTTTCCCAAAACGAATATTCTTTATCCTTATGCTCTCTAACGAATTTTAGCCTAGCATCTCTGTGTCGTTTCAAGAGGAGTGGGGTGCGTGATTTAAGACTGTTTTTGTGCAGTTCATTACTTATTGTACGCTTGGTTACTTTAATCCCTAATGCACGCAGATGTTCTTGCAGCTCTTCTCGGATAACCTGTGGATTTTG